GGCAGCCTCCTCTGCCTTCACCCCAGATTCAAAAGGAGAGTAGAGAGTCTTGATGTGGACCATCGAACCAGTCCCAGTGGTTCCCTCTGTGGTTGCTGTGCTCTCCTCCATCTTCCTTGAGTCTTCACGCCGCCTGGTGTTGGGTCGGCGCTTGGGTCTCAGGATAGCACCCTAGTGATTGGGTACCTGGTTGAAATTTTAAAAGATATTTGGGCTAATGTCACGGTTCCAAGTAATGAAACACGGTCCCAATGAAAGAACAACGGTAGATGTTCCTCAAATTAGCACATCTGAGAAAACTAGAATCTGAAAGCTTCCAGGTTTTCCCCACCCAAAAGAAAGTCCAAGTCCCTTCCCCTGCACCCATATGTCCATCACATGGTCCAATCAGTGCATCATCCCAACTAGAGATGCCTCCCAATCACACAACTCCAGATGCAGGGCAAATCTCTTGATTCTCAGAGAAAGGAATGTTATTATGGCTAGATATCGCCACCACTCCATGCAATACCCCCTCTCATTTTCCCACAGCACTAAATCTGGCAGCCATGGAGATCCAGAGAAAAAGATGGCCTCCAGGGCTGACAGGAACACGAGGAACACAAGTGGAAACCTGTGACCCAGAGAAGAAGGGTCAAGAAGCATTCAATCTTAATGAAGCTCAACAGTCAGTATCAGGCTCTCACTCTTGAAGACAACTACAGCCACATGAGCAAGCCTGGCCAACTTTGACTTCACAGAATAGGATAGGTTAAAACATAATTGGACCCTCATGGATCAAAGATATGCCCTTCATTTGAGGAGCAAGAACACTCTGCATTGTGGTAATGCAATGCTTCTTATCCTTGGCAGCTTTAAAATATGTGGACTTCAACTTCCAAAATTCCCTAGTCAGTGTGTGCTAGTAATTCAATACTGAGAGGAACTGAGGATGCAGTTTATAAACTTGATACAACATTGTGGTATAGCTTTCCTAATATCTGCATTCGTGATATGAAATAGAAACCTGATAAGTATTTTTTCCTAGTGATTCATGTGAGATAAGTGACACTGCCCCAAGGGACTTTCAACAAGTCTCCAGAGACCAGAAAGTTCAGGGCAGGAAGCTGAAGATTGTAGGGCTGCAAATAGTATTTCATTCTTCCTTTCTTTCTGATGAGAGATGAGAGTATATCAGAAAAAAAAGAAAAGAAAAGAAAGAGTGGCAAAGGGCCAGAAACTAATATCCTGTCAAGGGCTGAGGCTAAGAACAAGAAGGAAAGGGTAAAGTGTTAGAATGAAGCATGAATTTAAGAGATTTGCTGAAAGCCACAATACTGAAGCCTGTGAAAATCTTGTTGAAAGTGTATGGATAAAAATTTTAAAAAAAGAGAGAGTGAAAAGCAACACTGTTATGGGAGTTTATCTGAGACTGCCAGGATAGACAAAAAAATTAGACCTTTCTGGATCAGACAACCAAATTTTCAGAAATATGTGACAGTGATAATGAAATATTTCAACTATCTGCTATATATCTAATAGCAATAGCAATAGCACTTAAACATATATACTTCTTTACAATGCTTTACAGCCCTCTCTAAATTGTTTACAGAGTCAGCATATTGCTTCCAACAATTTGGGGTTTTCATTTTACCCACCTTGGAAGGATGGAAGGCTGAGTCAACCTTGAGCTGGTGAGAATCAAACTACCAAACTGCCAGCCAGCTGGCAGTCAGCAATTCTGCCAAGAAGGCCAAAAGAATAGCTATTCTGGACCAACTGGTTTTATCTTGGATCTTTTATCAACAGGGTGGAATTGGTTGAAGAATCCAAGGTTACTAGACCCTTGGGAGAAAGTAATCATGTCTTAATTTTTTGACAAAGGAGAGAAGGATTTTTTTAAATAAAAAAATCAGATTTATATATTGGATTTCTGAAGGCTGAATTTTGATGAACTTGATAAACATATGCTGGATATGTTTATATCCAGCATATGGATATTGGAGTATGGATTCTGATAGACAGACAACTTGAAATGCTGAAGAAGAAATGTGTATAGGGGAATTGTGCAAAATGGAATAGTGAAGCCTCAATCACAAATGATTCCTAAGAGATAGAAAATCGGAGTATTTTAGAGAAATGTGTGTGTATAATTTTAAAATACAAAATTTCAAAAAAGTTTAACAGTCAAAGAAATATGTACACTATATGGAACAGAAGGAAGAGCACAAAACAAAACAAGACAAAAAGATTCAAGGCGGGCACTAGAAACTGTAGAGGTTTTGCCAAAAAAGCTGAAGTTCACAATGAGCTGAGATGGGTAAGAAATGCCCCAAAGAATGTCTGCTTCTCTCAAAAGGAAAAGAAAACATTAGTTGGTCAGCACTGTATTTCCAAACAGACAAAGAGAGAAGAACAGTTAATTAATTTTAATGAGTTCAACTCTACAGGCCACATGAATTACATCTTACAGTATTGAAGGAACAAGAGGAGGTGATTGCAAACTTGCTAACTGTAATCTTTGAAAAGTCCTGGAGAATTAGTGAGTTCCCAGAAAACTAGAGGGACAGCATATACAGACACAATTTCAAAAAAGGGGAAGGAGAAGAACCCAGAAAATTATAGACCTGTCAATCTGACATCTATGGTGAGCAGGTTCCTGAAGCAGATTATTAAATGGTGTATTTGTTAGCGCTTGGATAGGAATATATCAATTAAGAAATACAAGCTTTTACAAATACAAGCTTTGTTACAAACAAAGATTAAATTTATCTCCTTTTAGACAGAACAAATAGGTAGGGAAAATGCTAAGGACACAGTGTACCTTGACTGCAGCAAAGCATTCAACAAAGCATGTCATAAATAATCTATTTAATAAAATGATAAAGTAGTCAAGATCAGGATTTTTCATTTTTTTAAGCTCCATAAAATGTATTATTTTAAAACAAATCCTGAAATCTCTGATAAGAGGGAAAGTTCTAATGATAGACAATTGGTTGTGAACTGTTGTTGTTGGGGTTTTTTTTTGCTCACATTCACAGTGACTCATAGAATTCCATCAAGTACTTTACAGAGGAAAGTTTGGAAAACACAGGTCATGAGTGAGGATACAATTGTTATCAACATGCCTCTAGCATGTTCTAGCCTCAACATGCCTCTAGCATGTCACAAATGGCTTCACTCGGCTTGGAAAATAGTACTGTATCAACTAGAGTGCCTAATTTATGTACTGTAAATTGGTCATTGAGATAATTAGGAAAAAAGAAGTTTCAGCTTCCAATTTTTTGGATGTCTGGACTATAAACGACATAAACTGGCATCATGGTTTCCTACATTTTGCTTTTGCACAATGTAAATATGGACTCACTTATAGTGACAAAGGGATACTTGAAAGAACAAGTTTGATGGATCCTCATGGAGAAAATCTATGAAGATTTATCTATGCAATCCCAGTGTTCCTTATGTGTTCCCTGATGACACATAATAAGTTGTGTTTTATAAACTTTACACAGATAAGGCTTAAAGAAAAAAGCCTCCAGCACCTGAGAGAAATAGTAAAGCCACTTCTTTTCACTTTCTCTCTCCCCTCTCACACATCTGTTGACCCTGGAGACTAAACAGGCCTCCTCAATTATTCTGCATGGAAGAAACATTAAATCCACAATCTACAGTTGGTGTAAATTATCCTTAAGCCAGATAAACTTCCTGAACTGGGTTTATTACCGATTTATTTCAAAACGATGTGTAACTGGCACTTCGGTGTTGTTCCATTCAGCATTTCCTTTCTGTTTAGGTTGCCTGCGCACCTACCTTCCCTCACCACCCTCGCCTCGCCACCGTGTCCTGCTTTTCAGGCTCTCCCGCCATTCCTTCAGCTTGGACACTGAAGGGGAAGTCAAAGAAGCAGATTTTCGTGAGTCAGTGCACCTCAGCTAATGCGTTTCAACTGGACCATTAAAGTGGAGAGGGCCAGACCCAAGAGCGGCCGAAGGGGACGCGAGTACAGAGAGGGAAGTGGAGCGATTGTCTGCGGAAGGTGAATAGAAAGGGGGACAATTTCCACCTAGTTCAGCCTAGTAAAAGCGCGCTCCTCTTTTCGCACAGCTGAACTTCCCAGCCCAAGGACTTTAGGGACAAAAGGTTTCCAAGCCAATGAACAAGGTCTGGGAGAGCACAGCGAGGCACTACACCACATACTTTCCTGCCCAACCTTTCAAGATTGTGCGGCTTGGCGGTGGGGGGGAATGGAAAGGAGAGGTTTTTCTGAACAATTCCTTCCCCTTCGCTAAGACGAAGGCTTGTATCCTGCCTAACCTTCCCTGCAGTGAAAGGAGAGAGACTTCGGCCAGTCATCCTGCACTGGTGGCTGCTTCTTTCCAAATGCCAACTGGGCTGAGGTTGGGGAAGTGCAGCTGGGAATGAATGCCTGGCTAGAGCGCCCGCGCGCACCCTTTCCCTCTCCTCGGCTCCAAGCACGCCAAAGGTGAAGCCAAGTGAGGCCCCGGCTGACGCGGCTGGAAGGCTGGCGGCGACGCGGGGGAGACTTTTGGAACCGAGGGTTCCCCCACTTTCCCTGCCTCTGTTGAATAAGACCGGCGAAAAAAGAGCCATGGAAAAACGCTGCTCCCAAAATCTTCCCCTCTGGATGTCCGTTATTTCTTAGAACGAGCTCTGGAGAAAAAGGACAAATGCCGGGGTGAGAGGGAAGCGGGAGGGAGGGAGGCGGCGGAGGAGGAGGCGGCGGCGGCGGCTCAGGGTTGCCCCAATCCTGCCAAGTTGAGCGCCAACGCTCTTTTCCCCGAATCTTCCAGCGAAACAGCATGTGGACTGGCTTCTCGGCTCCCTCCCGTGCGCTCTTGGCAGCTGCTGCCTCCTCCTCCTCTTCCTTTTACCCATCCTGCTGCTGGCAGCAGCAATCCAGGCGCTGGATGAGTGAGGGGGAGAGGCAGGGGGTGGGTGGGAAAGGGGGGGAGTAGTGACGGTGCCGTCGGGGCTTCTATTCCAAACGGGGCGCAGAACCAGCGCCTGGTGACTCTGGTCGCGGCAGCCGCTGCACGAGACAAGTCTGCTCGGTTTTCTCTCCGCCCACCCCGAAGAGCCGGTACCTCACGGGCTTAGCCACTTGCTCGTTCTTAATTGGGTTCGGACCCGCATGGCGTGCTATCTGGTGATCAGCTCCAGGCATCTCAGCAATGGGCACTACCGTGGCATTAAAGGGATCTTCCGGGGACCGCTTCGCAAGAACGGCTCAGACAACGCGGTAAACCGCTTATCCTTACCTACTCGATCGGCGCTATTCGGGATATATAAACCTGGCGACAAATATAAAATTGTGGCTAGATCTCTCTGGTTCGGACCAGGCTCGGAGCGAATGCTTGTTATCGGCTTATCGGGGAAGAGCTTGTTCTTTTCCCGCGATCTGATCCTGGTGATAGATCTTGCAGCCTAGCAGCATGACTTTTTAAAAGCTACTTGTTTTGTTTTGCAAAGTTTATTCCTCTGTCTCTTCTTCTTCTTCTTCTTCTTCTTCTTCTTCTTCTTCTTCTTCTTCTTCTTCTTCTTCTTCTTCTTCTTCTTCTTCTTCTTCTTCTTCTTCTTCTTCTTCTTCTTCTTCTTCTTCTTCTTCTTTTAAGTTGCTGGAGAGCGAAGATCGAGGGAAGGATAAGCTTTGAGTTGATTGGCTTTTTTGGGGGGGGGGGGGGGGGGTGAGAAAAAACGATGACCGGTAGAGTGAAAGGTACCTGGTTTTGGTATGGTGGTTCTATATTGTACAATGTGTTATCCAGAAAAAGTTAATAGTGACTCTCTGTGTATAGAAAATTGGGGGACAGAACTGTGCATTCATTGAAAGACATTGAAACGAATAAGAGAAGGTCGGGTTGGAACCCCAGTGGTCAAATAGGAGTGTGGCACTGAAAGATGAGATTCCAGAAAGATGGGATCTCCTCAGAGCCCTATGTAAAAGCCAGGGCAACTAAAGTATGTATGTATGTATGTATGTATGTATGTATGTATGTATGTATGTATGTATGTATTTATTTATTTATTTATTTATTTATTTATTTATTTATTTATTTATTTATTAGTTCTATTTATATGCCACCCTTCTCCGAAGACTCAGGGCGGCTTACAATGCACAATGTACAAAGTAAGGGCAGCAGGTAAGAGCATGTAGGCCAGAGGGAATCACAATAAGATTCAGTAGAACTAATGAAAGCTAAACAGATTATTAAAGACACACAGAAAAGCAGAATGAAGATAATGAGGCAGCTGCCTCATAACTTCATAAAAGGATTTGATAGTAATCCAGAAACAATATACTGCCTTTTAAGATGTTTGCTGTTTCAAATCTGCCTCTTTTTTTAATTAGTCTGTTCTCCATGTTCTCTTCCCCTTTTCTGGGGCTTTCTTCCACCACTAGTAAACTTTTTTTTTACTTAAAATAAATGCTCCAAACAATTTTTCAAAAAGTTACCATTCAGTGATTTTGCCTCTGGAAAAGTACCATATCAAGGTGTATCTTTCCTCTGCATCTTGACATAGAAGTAAGTCCTGTTAAAATCAGTGAAGATTTTCTCCCACATAACTGAGTCAAGGATTGCCTTGATGTCCAGAATAGAATAATAGCTATAAAATGATGGTATCCATAGCAGAGAGACAGTTCATAAATCATTAAGTCCAGTGTTTAACTAGAATAATTACACTCTCTGAAGGGAGTCCATCTAAAGTATTTATTTGTTTACTTCTGTGGTTAATATGGCATTCCAATCCATCAGGATTGCACATGTATATTAACATAAAATAATAAAAGACACGAGTAGATACTGTTTTCAAGTGGAGTGATTGCTACATTACCACTTCATCATTGGAATCCCTTAACAATGATAAAAGGCTGTAATTTGTAGATGCACCCATCATAATGTACCTTTTGGGGAAGAGATATTGAAGAAATAAATAGTGGAAAAGACAAGAGATTCAGGGCACTAGCAAATGAAGAAAAAGTTAAGGTGGAAGTCTGTTTGAATTTGGTTTAATTAATATTTGTTGAGAAAAAACATAAGGTGGAAATAATTATAATGAAAAAGGCTAAAAAGAAGAACAAAAAAGATGTAGAATTACAAAATTGAGGCTGTATTTATTAGTGAATTATGAGAATCACCATGAACTAACACTAAGACAGTTGGGATTCAGTGATAATTACAAGTAGATGGATATTATGATATGTTACAACTCATAATATACCAACATTCCATGCAGAATGTATAGAAATGGAAATAAATACAGGATATTATGAGAATATAGTTCAATGGTAGGGAACATTTTCAGTAAAATAGCAATTTCATGCTTTAACCTAAAATTGCTTAACTGGCAAACCATTGTGTGGTCAAGTATTAAAGTATTAAATATAAATAAAATCTCCTTTTAGAATAAAAAAGTAGAAATCATGTGAATACAAGTAAGAACCAAAACTGGAAAATATGTGAAGTCCAATAAGGCTATGAATATTTAACATCTGTTTAATGGATGTGGTTTATTCTCAGTTCCACTGCATTCTATTTTAAGAACTGTTACTTTATAAAGTTAGTTTACTATCTTTCTCTTCTGAAAAATATTCCTAAGTATGTGTAGCTCTGGAAACTACTACATATTGAAATTCATGTGTTTCTTGAATTCTAAAATAAACAACTTTGTAAGTACACAAATAATTTAGAACCTCTACAAGCCAATTGCTAGATAAAAGGGTGGCTTAAAATAAAGAAAACTTCACAAAATATATTTGATTTTATGAAAAGATTTCAATGTGAGCATATACAAATTGATTACAAATAATATATGCAATGGTCATTCCATAATATAGTCAGAAAATAATTCCAAATGATACTTGTTAGATTTGTAGCCCAATATGATTAAAAATTCTGAAACTCAGTTTTATAATTATCATTTATCTGTATATATGAAACTTTGCAAAGGGGAGATTTAACAAGCTCTTATCTCAAGGATGAAAATGTGATTATTTCTATTACATATATTTTAGGTTTATCTGACCATTATTTCTTTCATTCTAAAGATGTGAAAAACTGTAAAAGCTCAATTCTGAAGACTTACTTTTTTTCAAGATTTGTTCTATGTTTATGATACTTTAGAGCAGTGTTTTCTAATCTATCTGTGTTAGTATAATAGAAGTCCTTCAACACAGTAGTGATCAAGGATGTGTTTTCTCTTAAGCCACCATGTATGTAAGATTTATCTTTGTCATGTTTCTCCCCCATCTCATAGCTAGGATTACGTGAAGTGGTTTTCACTGAAGCAGTTGGTTTTAAGGAGATACCACCTCAAAATATTGAATATGAATCTCCCAACCACAAGAGTTGAGGTATGATGCTCCCTCCAACTGTTTTCATTTGGCAGAACTAGCTTGTTAATTGAAGATTATAAAGGCTCAGCAGTGGCTAGTTCAAGTTAACAAGAGCCTTGATAGTACAGTGGTCTACGCACCCTGTTATTAACACAGCTGCCTGCAATTTACTGCTGGTTCGAATCTCTCCAAGGCTCAAGGTTGACTCAGCCTTCCATCCTTTCAAAGGTAGGTGAAATGAGGACCCAGATTGTGGGGGCAATAAGCTGACTTTGTATAAATATACAAAAGTATGAAGGCTATTGCTTAACGCCTTGTAAGCCGCCCTGAGTCTCCGGAGAAGGGCGGCATATAAATCAAATTAATAAAAAAACAACATCTTGTCTTCAATTTAGTAGCAGAGAATCAGTTGGTAGAACTACATCAAAAGGATGCTATGTGGAAACTTCTACCAAAGGAAGAAGTTTACCTTAAAGCCTGCTTTAAGTAATGGCTATTACTTAAAAAAAGCAGCAAAATCCCTATAAAATGCTTTATATATATATATATATATATATATTATTTAGCTTAAATCTTTTCATAGAGACTTGACACATGGGTGCAGAGCCTGGAACCAACTCTTACTCTCTTAATGCAACTTATTTGTATATATACACATATTAATATTTTGCCATGATAATTGATATAAGGGCTTCTGTTCCTAGCATTGTTAGAATTAATAGTGCTCAATAATTTTGGTTAAAAAAATCAAAATTCACTTTTGCCCTCTTATTATTGCCCTTTTCACTTATCTCAAGTACTTTTCAGGAAATTTCTGCTTTTGATTTTCAAGAAACAGGAGCTAATTTTAAGGATGTCTGATGGTTGGTGATTATTCTGGAATGATATAAATACTCTTAAGAGGTTGCCTTGCATGTAGAAATCAAGATATTTCAAATGTCAAATTGATCTGAAAATATGTCTCTGATTACCACATCTGTATTTTTTTTTCCACCACAGAAAATACAAATGAATTGGACACACTTTTCTTTATATGATAATCAGCATGAACAAACTGTCAAGCATTTTAGGATTAATATATTTTCTTTATTAATTTTTAAATATTTTTTATTGTTTTGCAAACTTTATCCTGATTTTATTTCATTTTACTTTAGAAAACCTTGGTTGAGTTGAAAAAAAGGATTCAATGGCATAATTATTTATGAGTTTCAAGATTTAACTTTTCAGACTTGGGCAGTATTTTGAAATTTCAATTGAATGATCTGTATCACATCAACTTAAATGTTCTATTTGAACCATTAAAGGATCCCATTTTTATGCACAGGTTACTTCCTATATTACACTGAGTAGTTTTTAATATATAATGCATACTTTTTTAGATTTAAGGGGTTCTTTCATAACCGGCCATGAAATGTCACTAGGCTTATGATTATGCTTTTAGATATGGAAACACTAATGAATATTTTAAATACCTTTATGAAATTTCACAGCTGAGTGAACAAAAAATATCCAACTGGATATTTATGTGTCATTTTGTTTCTCTGCCAGGTATCTCATACAATAGTATAATAGTTTATGATTAATGGGATTTTCATAGTCATTTTGGTGAATAGAAATGTAAATATTTTCTACAAATTTCTAGAATTTGGGGCAGTTGTGCATTTTTAATATCTATAAATCTAATATTTATTTGTTTAGGGAAATTGGTTATAATAAAGTCATATATCATGGTTCAATAAATTTTTTACCAGTTAAATAATTTTGATTTTTGACCTCCTGATAATATGAAAGAAAAAATTAATATTTTTCAGAATTTTGAAACATGACAAATATATATATATATATATATATATATATATATATATATATGTATGTATGTGTGTGTGTGTGTGTGTGTGTGTGTG